CAAATGGATGGTACAACCAATCAATCTAGAGCAGAGTTATCAAACTCAAAGCCCATGGGCCAGATCTGGCCCACAGGGTACTTAGATCTGGCTCATGGGGGCACACTGGAAACAGTGAAGGACCAGCCCGCAGTGCCTCTGCCAGCGAAAACAGAGCTTGGGGAGGCTGGGTTCCATTTTTGGCCATGACGGCCTCCTGCAGCCCTCTGCCAGCAAAAACAGAGCTCGGGGAAGTCCGCAAGCAGCCTCCAAGGGCTCCATTTCTGCTGGCAGAGGGCTGCAGGAGGCTGTAACAGCCGAAAACAGAGCCTAAACAAGTGACGTCCAGCTGGCCACATTCACCGTGGCCCTGCCCCTCAGCCCCCTGAGGTCAAACACAACCCTGATGTGGCCCTCAATGAAATCAAGTTTAACCCCCCCTGATCTAGAGGCACAAATGAACAGAGTCAAATACTTTGGACACATTATATGTAGACTTAGCTCAATGGTAAAGGCCCTAGTATTGGGAAAGGTGGATGGAAAGAAGAGAAGAAGACAACCAGCAGCAAAGTGGATAGACTCAGTTGCAAGGGTATCAGGTATACAATTGAAAGACCTGAAGGGCCAGGTTAAGGACAGATTGTTATGGAGAAAATCTCTCTATGAGATTGTTCGGCAGATAATCAATCACAAAGCATTATTAGGACTACTGTATTCCCCTGCTGTTCAGGAGAATAAGTCATGGCCACTAAGCCCAAATAAAACCACCCATAAGGATACTCACATGGATGCTTTTTTGGATTTTGGTTGAAGGTGTTGGCTCAGATCTTCTAAGGGTTGCACTTTTCCCTGCACCACAGCAGGATGCTTAGGTGAAAGGGTGGCAAACACCGGTGAATTCAAGCATCGCCATTTCAAGAACCTACCCAGAGACAAGGCCAACTTTGGCTTGGGTGATACCTTGGAGTTGACAGCATTTGAAGAACTATGGCAGTTGTCCAGTTCAGAGTCCATGGAGTTCTGAGCCCTTTCCAGAAGGGAAGGAATGAGATCAGAACCAAGCCTGTTAGGCTCCAAGTTCTTCTCCGTGACAGATGCATCGCCTAAGGTTACCCGCGGAGGTGAGGAGTATCTGGCAGTGTTTGGCATAGGGAGTTGCTTGGGGCATTGAGAAGGAGGCAGAGGATCAGAGGTACCAGTGTAAGCAGCCAAATGGGAAACAGGGACAGTAAATTGACATAACTGCAGGGAAAAGAGAAAGAGAGAATGGTTATTATAGCATAGACAATGACATGGAATTCTTATAGAAAATTGAGGTCTTTATTACACTTGGTCATCTGTAACCATCTCTGCTAGGCTTCACATTATGGCCTTCCTGGTATGTTTTTCTACAGTTCAGCATGAGCAAAGCAGTGCTACTGCTGATTACAGCATGCATAATGTCGCATTCACCCTGTTTGGCTTCTGCCAGTAGGTAGAAACCAGCCAGTCCAGATGTACCAGAAGTCTAATCTGCACATTTGATCTCAAATTAATTTTTGAGAGTGGGAAAATTCTACATCTCTTATGGCCCCTTGGCTGCAATGTTGCAGCTTCAGATGCATGACCTGTGCTAGAATTTTCTCTCTCTCTCTCTCTCTCCCTCTCCCTCTCTCTCCCTCTCTCTCTGTCTCCTTCCCTCTTTCTCATCATATCTATATCTATATCTATATCTATATCTATATCTATATCTATATCTATATCTATATCTATATCTATATC